CGGGGGGCTGGTACAGGCTTCATTACAGTGGCCCACCTCCTGTTTGCCCCCCTCTTTCTATCTCTCCCTCTGGCGCCCTTCCCACCTGCATGTTATTAGACTGCCGTGCAGGGCAGACGATCAAGGCTGGAAAATACCAACAGCCTCAAAATGGAGGCCCGGGAGGGAGGGATCGCACAGGAATGGTGTTTTGGGAATGTGAGCGCAGAGGTTGGATCGTACCGTGTGTTATGACAGACTGTGTATCCTCGGTAGAATTAAGCTCACTTAAGCTCAAACTCATTATAATAAGCCTGAGAACTTTGTTCAACAGTACAATTATGTTTTAAAATACTCTGTTAAATCACCCTCTGACTAGCGTTTCTGTGTGGAAGGTCGTTCGGTTCGTTTACATCTCGTTATGCCTCAGAGCCTAGCTTGTCAACTGACAGGTAGTTAGATAGAAAATCAGAGGGTCTAATGCCTCTGTCTCTATCTTTGGAGTGTCTTTGGAGATGCCCCTCAAATTAGTTTCACACAAGTACCTTACAGTGTGTTTAAAGACACTTGCTGCTTGTGTGACTGTTTTTTTTATAAATTGAGGGGGTTGGCGTTGGAGTTAGGGGGTGTGCCCGAAGCATCATAATCAGTGATGCTGTCTACACTGGCTGCGGCGCGACACAACACCCAACAGTAAACTGCTGCCGCGTTCTATTTATGACGTGCTGACACAAATTTCAAATGATTTTCAACGGTCGCTTTGTCGCGTCCAGTGTAGGCAGACTTTAGCGGATGCGGTGCGGTGTAGACACGGTGTAACGTTGCCTGTTACATTACAGTACATAAAATTTCACTTACCACATAAACAGAGTAAGGAGAGATGAGTGAGGATGATGGCGAATGATTTGCAGATCCTCAGCACCACTGACAAACATCTAATCTTGTAAAATGTGTGGTAAGTACTGCTGCTCCATAGTATAAACAGAGTACGTGTGATCGCAAATCTTGAAAGTGAAACTAAAAAGCGATTCAAAAGTGCATTCAAAAGCGCAGTTTCAATGCCAGGTATAATAGTGGCTCCCTGATGCCCGAAATATATATGTAGTATAATTACCCAATGATATAACTGTGAAAGAAAATATTGAAATATATATTTTCCTCCCATCTCATATTTATTCCCTTTAGGGGTTCCGTATGCATGTAATTTTCTTTCTGAACATGGTATTGGGATGCGGCGGATTGCGGTGGGTATGGGGGGTATCACGATGCCGGCTCAACATCGTGATGTCTATCAGCCATCGGCGATAGACGATGGCATCGTCTATCGGCCCAACCCTAGTTCAATTCCAACAATATCTCAAATTTTGCTGGCCAGAATAATACAATACAATAGATTTGCCAAGTCTGCAATATTGTCAGTGATTTCTCATCAAATTAACAAGAAAAATATCCAAACTAATTACATTTTATAATATTCATTTTAATTTTCTATACTCTTAATGTGTGCAAATTTTCTATACTCTTAATGTGTGCAGTCGACTCGTACAGTACTTAAGAGAAATAGAAATAAATGAGACAATTGTGTAAATTGTTTTACACAATTTATTTTAATTTAATTACATTTTTTTAAAATGCTTTTATTTATTTATCTATTTTTGTGTATTATTTGTGTCTAGTTGTCAACATTCTACACTCGTGGCATTTTTGTTGTGTTTATTTATTTATTTATGATATTTAAAATGTTAGTTAATGTTTCTTTTAAAACAGTCATACTTTTGTTTTACATGATGATTTTTTATCAATAGGGGTTTTTTCTATCTTTTATGACTTATATATGTAAATGACCTGTTATGATTAGATTGTCCCCAGTATGTTGAATATTCTACACCTATTGATAAAAGACATTTGCTTTGGGACTATTTATTAAAAAAAAAAAAAAAATTTTCCATAATATCTTTCTTTAATCACTTTTAATGCAGTCACTTGTGAAAATAGTAGCAAGTGACATGTTGTACTCATACAGGTGGTTAATAATGGTTCTAGCCAAAGCTTGTTGTTTGGGGATCATCATAAGGACTGAAGTACTTGGGCTGGACTGAGTTATTGTCAACCTCATCAAGCTTTACCGGGCCACAGGAAGCGGATTTCCTCATGGTTTGATGTGACCTTATGTGTTTTCCAATAGCAGTAATCAGACAGATGCTGTAAGCTATTATCCTAATGCTTCTTCCATTATGAGATTGAGACCCGCTTGGCTCACGGGTTTTATTTTTATTTAACCTTTATGTAAAGAGGTTAGACATGCTGAGATTTAAAAGCTTTTGGACAAGAGATACTGTACCTGGCCAAGACCATCAACGGCACAAAAAGTTTTAGAGAAACACAAACCTCACATAATTAGATAAAATACAAATTCAAGTGAACTAATTTAGCTTACACTCAAATGTATAAGGGTCATAAGGGTCAATTTTTTGAAATTGAGATTTATACATCATCTAAATAAATAAGCTTTCCATTGATGTATGGTTTGTTAGGATTTGACAATATTTGGCCGAGGTACAGCTATTTGAAAATCTGGAATCTGAGGGTGCAAAAAATATTGATAAAATTGCCTTTAAAGTTGTCCAAATGAAGTCCTTAGCAATGCATATTACTAATCAAAAATTACGTTTTGATATATTTGCTGTAGGAAATTAACAAAATATCTTCATGGAACATGATACTTGTTCCATGATATAATTATACATGATATAATTAATATCCTAATGATTTTTGACATAAAAGAAAAATCGATCATTTTGACCCATACAATGTATTTTTGGCTATACCCGTGCTACTTATGACTGGTTTTGTGGTCCAGGGTCACATTTTATAATTATAAAATTTGATAAATAGGGAGAAAGTCTATATAATATGTCTTGACATCAACTGTTACATGGCTCAGGTTATAAGCGCATGAGTATAGTATTGAGTAAAATTATATGCATAATACTTTTAATACACAAAAAAAAAATCCTTAATGCTTTTACAAGCTCAGTTTTCTATCTTGTGTTGATGTATTTCAAATAAACAGGAATAATACATTTTATTTTCTTTTTTAAATTTTCTTTTTTCTTTTTTCTTTTATAAATAAAAATGTCTTTCACCGAATCATGCCTATAAATATCTCAATAAATATATTTTTATCTTTTATAATAAGCGTACTATATACATAGGAGACCTCGAAGTTAACATACACGGACTAAAAGAGCTGTTAAAACAAACTGATTACCTGAATAATAGTATTAACAAATATATTAACAAATAATAGGCTAAACTAGCCAGGTTTTCCTGCTAGAAGATTGTACTGCACTGTAGTAGTTCTTGATTTATTGAAAGTGTATAATTGGTTGATTGTTAGCACTTTAAGTTGCAGTAACAACAGGCATTACTGCAACAATGAGAGCACTTGGCCCTCACGACTGACCTGGATAGCATGAAACCCTATCTGTACTGTGCCACTTGAACACACAGCAGGTCACAAGATAGCAGTATGACTAGAAAGACCCATCTAGACCGACTTCTCATTCATCAGTGATTGAGCCTTTTGTTACTCAATTTAACAGAAAAGACATTTTCCAAATGTTTTGCTTACCCCCCTCTAATTTGCCAAACATCTGCTGCTGTCAAGAGCGACCTGTTCGTCCAATAACAATACCTGGCCTGCATGCCTCATTAGATCACCTATGGAGAGCCAGTTTTTGTCATCCAGTCTTTCCGTTTATTACACAGCAATCAACTGGAGTGCAACCAAGTGATGTAGCTTTGCAAATATTCAGTATTTCTTTTCATAGTACTCTTTGTGTAGTTCCTGCAGTTACTGGCCAAAATATCATGCACATATATGCACATAACCAGAATGTTATTGTGAGATGGACAGATGGATTACTTTAAAAGGAAAGCTGCTGTTTTGATCTGTTGTGAGTTTTGTTTTTTGTTTTGTTTTGAGATCATGTAAACCTTCTGTGACTGTTCTTTTAAAATAAAGATGCCATAATATGTTTTTATTTTGTTGTTTTGCTTTGTTCGATTTTTTTTTTAAATTATGGTTTTTAAACTATTTATTAAAAAAATGAATAAATCAAATTTTATTTGAAAAAGGCTCTTCCTTTATTTTTTGATTGTGCAAACCCTGTGTGACTTCTTTTACATTAAAAGGAAAGCTGCTGTTTTGATTTTTGATCTGTTGTGAGTTTTGTTTTGAGATTTTTGTTTTTGTTTTGTTTTGTTTTGGGATCATGTAAACCTTCTGTGACTGTCCTTTTACAATAAAGAGGACATCATTTTTGTTTTTTGTTGTTTTGTTTGTTTTGCTTTGTTTCGTCTTTAGAATTTGTTTTGTTTTATTTGAAAAAGGCTCTTTCTTTATTTTGGGACTGTGCAAACCTTGGGATTATTCAGACTGTTCTTTTACAATAAAATGCACTATTTAATTTCGTTTAATTTATTTTACTGTGACTCTTGACATCATGCATATGTTCATGCACAATTACACTCAATTTTAGACCCACCGCCTATCAGCTTAAACATGTCTTCCTCACATTTAGCATGTACAGTGTCTGATTTGCATTTTTTCCCAATAGAGGGCTTTTAAAGCAGGTTGTGTAACTGTACTTGAGACATATTGCTGTGCACGATGACGTGCTGTTGTATTCATGGAATGCAATCACAGAACAGCAGGCGTGCAAGCGTAGGGGGCAAAGGTGACCGAGTCGCCCATGGAGACGCGTTCTGTGTACCATAATAGACAAAAGGAGCTGTTTGCACACTTTTTTGGTCATGTGAGCTGTGCACGGTAACCAATAAGCAAACTCTGACAGACTGTTGTTTTTTCACTCGTTACGACCTCCTTCGTGAATGTGCGCTGTATGTGAGGACGACGGGTTTTAAGTTACAGGGCATGGAAGGTAAAGCCCCAGATGTTTTGAACAGTCTGTGCATTGCAGTGACCAGCGTGTGGTGTGTGTTTTTCTCTGTCACAGTCTCCCAGTCCAACAGCAGTTTAAAGAAACACAGGAACAGAAGTATCTTTAGTCCCTTCTTCTGCTGTTTCCGGGACTATAATGCGGAACCACCAGCCACCAACAACAAGACCTGCTCCCTCCCTCCACCTGCCGAGGAGAACAGCAGCCCTCCAAAGGTGAGGCCTCATTTATTTCTCTAACGACAGTTTTAATGGCGTGAAAATCTTCAGCAATGGATGCATGAAATTGGAGAGTTTAAGTTACTGCGTTTGAATTGCTAATGTTGTTCCAGCTCAGAATAAAGTTTGTTTATTAGCAAACTCTTCAAACCTAAAAAGGTTTAGCTGAGGTTTTTTTCGTTTTTGTGAGCTGCGCCCGAATGCAGGCTCTGTGCGCGCTGTTCCCGTGTCCACACCGCAAAGTTTTCCAGCTGTTCCGAACTCGGTGAACCTGCCGTGATGTTTACCATCCAGTTCTAGAAATGATGGGCCCGCTTCCCCTCACACACATTCTTCAATTTCCACCAACCCACATACACACACACTTTCTCTCTCTCACATTCCTGAACTGCTTCTTTAATTCCAATAAAGTATGTGTCTTGTGTGATTGATTACTTGCTGCCCAGTGTGTTCCTTCCCATCCTTCCTTTTCTTTTTCTTTCTCTTTTTCTCCCATTGGCTATGTATGTACACATAAGGGGGAATACACTTACACTTAGAATGCATTGCGCCTGCTGATTGTCTTGTTTATTTGCATGTCATCTATGCTGTTTTCGGCTAATAAAGTAATTATGCAAAACAGGTCACCATGTTGAAATGTAAAAAGCACAAATGAGATATTTTTAATATCTTAGTAGTTTCTCCTAGGGAGCCAAATCAAATTGAGACGTTTGCTCCTGATTTTCAGATTGTTCTCCTGAGAAAAAAAATCTCAAATTCAACTGAGACTAGCCAAGCCTGACTGCAGTCAACAGTCTGTGATTTCTCATCAAATTCTTACAAGAAAAAAACTGAGCTAATTAATTTTAACATGCTAATTTCTGCTTTTATTTTTCCTAAGTAATTTTAGAAAAAACAACTGAGACAAAATTGATACTTGAAGGAAACACAACCAAGAACTCTAAAACATTTGGCAACATTTGGCCAATAAAACTTTACGCTGGGATGGTACAAACAATTAATGTACTTGATCCCTGTGTGACAGTTCTTTTACAATAAATAAAGGGACATTTTATTTTATCTTGAGCTTATATCTCACAATTCTGACTTAATAACACGTGATTGCGAGTTATGAAGTCAGAATTGCAAGATATACACTCACAGTTCTGCCTTTTTAATCAGAATGGCAAGTTTCTATCTCGCAATTCTGACTTTAAAACACGTAATTGTGAGTTATTAAGTCTGAATTGTAAGATATAAACTTGCAATTTTGAGAACATATCGGTCTTTTTTTTCCACTCAGAATCGGACTTGCAATTGAGAGTTTATCTCACAATTCAGAATTGTGAGATAAAAACTCGCAATTACCTTTTTAATTTTTAATTTTTCTTGTTTTATTTTTTGTTTTGTTTTGCACACTCATCACAAAGACTCCAGTCCATCAGTAGCCTAATAAAAGCTGTTTTATTTTACATGGAGCAGACCACCTCATGGGGCCGCCATGTTGACATCACATGACAAGCTGAATACAGCTTGGTTTAACCCCTTTTATCGGACTCTTGTTTTTACACAATACGTCTTGTTCACCAAAAAGACTGCCACAATATTTATATAAAAATTACAGAGTGCACTTTGCAGTAAATACTTGTGTTTTAGAGTTATTTCAGCGGATTTAGTATCTTGTGCCTATTTTTTTGTGTGTTTTCACTCTCTTTCTTGTTCTTTTTCTTTCTGTCTCTCGCACACATCCAAACACACACACAAACGCTGGGCAGTGTACCGTGTGAAATGACCTCACTGTCCGTGGCGAAACTTTAAGCCACAGCGCTCCACAAACACTCATGTGTGCTGCCAAAGCAGGTACAGGCAGCTATAAATGGATCTGAATCAGATCGCATTACCGTCAATGTTTGCCTGCAAATGACTCGCGATCTGCAGTGGAATGTCCTGATATTTTACATCTGCATGTGCTCGAAGTTGCCCTGATTTAGACCCACAGACTTGTCTTGTCGCTCCGGCCGGACAGGGCATCACAGTATGGTAAGGGACGTAACATTTCCGTCACACGCTTTGAGGTAATCGGCCAGTCACAACGCACTAGATAGCTGGCCAATCAGAGCACACCTCGCTTTTCAGACCAATGAGCTTTGTAAAAATCGACGCGTTTCAGAAAGACGGGGCATAGAGGAGAAACAATAATGTACAGTATGTGGAAAATAATGTGTTTTTTTTAACCTTAAACCGCATAAACGCATTTCATTACACCAAATACACAAAATAATGTTCTTTTTAGCAGCGTCATATGACCCCTTTAAAGCGAACCCTATGTGTTTTGCAACCCTTACAGAGAGAATCCTGGCAGGATTACGCTGTGAACAAGGATGTGATTTTTGTCAGCATGTCTGTCTGTGTGTTAGTCAGACATGTAATAATAATGTACAACTGTTCGTAGTCTCTGTTGCGATGTATGCTTTCACAGTGTCGTGTTTGTTGTGCTTGGGTTTTTTCTTTTTGATGATTCTTTTCCCTCCGTTTTGTTTTCTTTCTTTCTATTTTTTTCTCTCTTTCTATTTGGTTTGGTTTCTCAGTGTGATCAGGTCCAGGTCATCCCAATTCCCAGTGTATATATTATAATTTTTTATTTTTCCTTCATGCTTATGCATATATTTTGTTCTCTTGAGAGAAACCTGTCTGACTTCCTTTTTCTGGGATGCAATTAGCTTCTACACCACTTTACATGGGTTGTTGACGTGACATGGCATTTTCACTGTCCCACAAGATAAAAATGAATATAATTAATATTGTTGTTATTTAAAATCATCTTCAGAACACAATTTAAGATATTTTTGATTAAATATGAGGGCTCTCTGACCCTCCCATAGACAGGAAGGTAACTACCACGTTCAAGGTCCAGAAAAGTACCAAGATTCTTTCACCGTGGACGAAGTGGAGTCCAGCTCGGGGTCGTCACATGTGGTTGCCGCAAGCCCGCCGGCCGCACCGTTCTCAAGCCCTCTGGCCGTTTCTCACTCTAGCCCGCCGCCGCTCACTCTACCCTGCCGTGTGTGACGCTGTGTTTCGTTGTGAAAGCGAAACTACTTTGTTTGGCCTTCCAAAAGAGGACACGACTAGA